TTCTGGATCAGTTGAGGGGTTGAGACCAGACTAAGACCAGCTCCAGTTCCTCCTGCATTCCACTGGGATAGACTTTTAATGTGTCTAAATATCACCTGTTTTTATTTGCCTTATTTGAAGAGATCTGCATTTAGGCTAATTATTTAATAGTTTATGACATCAATAGGCATCGTGACAGGGTTTACCTTGCTGAAAAATATGTCAGGTAGATGGTGGATCAAGTAGGCCATGATGTTAGCAAGGTTACATTACAGACACAGTTATGACCTCTTTACACCTGGAGTTGCAGTGTTGTGCACCTGCCTTAGGTAGTTTTTTCTTTCCTGGTGCATTTTGTTCTATGGATGTGATGTCTCTTTTCCAACACCTACTGCTGGATTTTTCAATGCATTAGGAAAAGCTTCCCCAGTGTGTGCACTTCTCCCCCAATTGGACTCCTTGGAAACATTTTACCACAGACTCATTGGCAATGAACCAGTCAAGCAGTGTCCTGAAGACATGCTTCTACTCCAGCAAACTTTTCCACTCCTGTTTGACATAGTTAGCATTGTGGAGGGAGATCAGCTTCCTGAGGCCTTGACTGCATTTATTATTGACCTGTTGGAAAAAGTAAAGTCTCTGTTTGGCAGAAATGGATCAATACCAGATGCTGTGCAACTGGATGTACACCGCACAAATGATGTAGAATACTATCCTTGCCTGCCTGTGGTAAGAAGTCGCGGTGACTAATGCCTGGATGACACAACTCCAAAATCTGCACAAAGAGGAGTACTCGACAACCATCCTTACTTCCTGGAGTTTTCTTAGTGCACTGTAAACAAGGTACAATAATGTTATGAGTTTGTATTAATATTTGTATTAATTTCTACAATGAACAACATTACTTCTGATATAAAAAATGTACATTTCAGTTCACTCTGACCCCAAACTAGCTATTGTTCCCCTTTGTATATTCCAGATTATCCCCTGACAAGCTCCAGGTTTATACTCTACCTGTGGTTTTAGTTATTAGGTTTAGGTTTTTCGCGACAAATGTCATTTTCTTGAAAGACCAAAACTGTTTGTAATGCTTAGTTTTCAAAAGGATAATGTCTGCAGCTATCAAGTCAAAGAATCGCACAGATTAACTGACTTACCTGTTTTGTTTTGTTTTTTGCTGTTTACTGAATAAATTGAAATTTCTCTTACAATTTATGGGCTAAATGGCATAATGACTTGTATAAATAAAGGTTGTTGATTTCTATTGACTA